AAAGCGCTGATAGCACCTGTTCAATCCCGGAGTTTGCCTTTAAAGGCTCTCGAGGAAGGAACTATTGCAAAACTTCCGGGGCTCGGTAAATCCAGATCTCACTGGTTGTTTTCTGCACATTTGTTGACAGGGCGCAAAAACGCTGCCGTTTAAAGTCTTCACTTGTTCAGGTAAGAAACCGGTAGGAGCGACACTGCTTTTCTCCAACACAATGGTGCATCTGATTTAGGATTAGGAGTTTTTCTATTTCAAGCGTTGTTTTTTTAACCGAATGTTTGTAACACCTACGGAATACTACGATGTTAAAATTGAGCAGTGGAGGCTGAATGGTAACAAGTGAATTCGGCGCTTCTCCCGAATAGGGGAGGTGAAAGAAAGAAAGCAGGAGAAGGAACTGAAAACAACTGTGGTTCTCGTTCACTAAGTCATTTTGCCTCCCCTATTTGGAGTTCATCGATGTCACAGACACGAGCGGCCTAAGTGGTCCCCATTTCCTCAAGGATACTAGTAATAGAAATTTACGACGCCAGCCCAAGCGAATTCGCCATTCAAGGCTCTTTCACTGTTATAGTGTCTGATCCACTACCAACTGCTCGTAGTCACAGAACATTCTCCCCTCTCGTTTATTCCTTTTTTTTTCAGGAACGCTGTCCTTGCTCTTATATTTCTCTGAAAGTAAATTCCGCATTTTTCTAAGGGAAGTTGGGGTCTGTTTGAGAAGGCACACTTTACCATCAAGCTGAATAACATTACCTCCTAAGTCAGTGGGCCAGCCGATGCAGCAAAAATTACGTGGATCCCGAGATTTTCTGCGAAACGAAGACACTACGGACTCATTTCCGTCCACTGTCTATGCAACCAGCTGCTCAACCTACGTGCCTCCCTGATGACTACCACAAGCAGCTACAGAAATGAACCCACAGAGGTCAATGACCTCACAAGGAAAGGATCTCAGATCGCCATGGTCACTCGAAGAGATGTATACCAAGAGATGTGCCCTCTGATCTCAAATCTACCTTCCAAATCTGCTAAACGATTCTCTGAACGGAGTTATGAAGCGGGTAGCTCAGCGGTGATGGTCCGCTCTGTCAGGTAAGGGCTCGTAAGATCGGTTCGTTTGTGAGTTTGTTCCCTTTGCTCCGTCTGCTACATTTTGGAAAAACTTGTGTGCACGTCATTTCATCACTGCTTGACTAACTAAAACCGCCGGCAAGAGTTAGAAAGCAGTTGCTAGCAGGTACATCCTTCGCTCCCTAGCCACTTGTTTGTAGTTGCGTCAACATTTCAGGTCTTGCTAAAAGGAGCTCTATGCGGTAATTTGACGTCCCGATAACGAATATCACACTCATTTTGCAGAAAAAAATGCACCCCAATTTTGATTACTGTTCCCGCATGAATGTTTATGCGCGCGTATCGCGCATGCAGACATTTTTGAACAAAATAAGTGTGATATTCGTTATCGAAGCGTCAAATTGCCGCAGCTCCTTTTAGCAAGATCTGAAATGTTGACGTAACTTCAAAAAGTGACCAGGGAAGGAAGGATGTACTTGTTACCAACTGCTCGCAAACCCTTGCAGGCAATTTTTCAGATGAGAATCGACGAAATTATGTGTTTAATTGTTTTTCCACAGTTGTAGACAAAAGCAAAGGAACGGACTCGCCAAGGAACCGCTTTGATGACCTTTTACCTTCAAGCCTGAACCGCTGAGCTACTCCTCTTCATAACTCCGTCCGGAAAACGATTTAGCTGATTGGAAAGCAGATTCGCGATCATCGTTTGCACTCTTCTTAAATGGCCATAGCGACTTAGATCACTCCCTTGTTAACACCTTGACGACAGCGCGGCAACTAGGTTTGCCGCGTTTTGCACGCCGCAATGGACATTGTGGCAACTATAGTTGCCACACCCTTTACATTCAGTTTTTTCTTGAACGCGCCATTTCTTCCCAGGTTTTTTGTGTTCATTTTTTAGGCCATACCACAACATAACCAAGAACCACGCGGCTTATAGAATGACCAAATATTCTTTAGTTTGGCAGAGGTTTTTCGGACCGGACGAAAATATCCGTTCAGTTCATTCCTCATTTTCTCTTCATTAACACGAACATGTAGATAAAAAAGAATATTAGAAGTGAGTACAAAGCTACTCGTGTGGCAAGATATGTGTTTTTACCGAAACAACCACGTCCAAAATAATTTTGAAATCACTAAAGCAAAAGTAAGTGAAACTTGCCTTTTCAATGCTGTAACACATCATTCGACCGCACTTTCACATGTGTACCTTCCAATATCAGTGGAAACATTTTGTCGCATCGAAGTATTGCGTATTAACACATTGACGACCGCGCGCGTTTTGGCTTTTTTGGCCGTGTGGGACCGGGCCGATTTTGCGAGTGCGACCGCCGCACCTCGGATCCGTGAATTTTTATTGATAACTTTTTAAAGCACCAGTGGTACAAAAACATCTCAGTAACAGTCAATGCGTAGAAGGTAATAGAGTATATAGTGACGAAGTTCCGATTAAAGAACATGTAATGGTAATGAAAAAGGAAATTTTAGTCATTTTATCTGTAGTGGATGCCAAAAGCTCTTTTGATGTGGTTATACCAAGTGAAACATGTATTTTTCTGTCTCTTTAGATTTGCATTTACTTTCACTACCCTTTTTTATTGACGTGTTCATGAGAATAGCATGAAAACTATTAATGAACCAAGCCGCCAGTTTTCGGTGAGCTTGGAAAACTTCTTCTAAACTGGAGCATATTTGAACAAACAATGACCTATGTCGTTCACAATAATGTTATGTTCTAATCCATAGAAGAGAGACAAACAATTCGGGAAAAAGCTGCGCATGCCCTAGAAAAAGGGATGATAAGGGTGAGACGCGGTAACGCGTCTCAATGTCCAACGAGGTGCGCAAAGTGAGACGCGTTACCGCGTCTCAATGTCGTCAATGTGTTAAAAGCTCAAATTCCACAGATTTGTTGTGAGGCGGCGGCGCTCGCAGAACCGCTCTGGTCCCACGCGGCCAAAAATGCCAAAACGCGCGATGTCGTCAACGTGTTAAACTGACCGTGCCCCTCTAGTTGATTCTTGAGTGAACAAACTCTGATTTTCGTAAAACGCTTTTCAAGCAACGATCAACAACCCTACCTTCTACAATTGATACGAGAGGACATTTTTTTTGCTGTCATGAATTTCCAACAATTTCCTGGATGGAACATCGTAAATGGGGGATCATGCACTCTCTGCCATCTGCGGCCGCGTGGCACGCATAGGGTGTCAAATTCCTCATGAGCTATTTCTTTCCGAGATTTCGGCTTCTCAGAACTAAATTCTCCGTTGTCCCATAGCACTGTTTGATAAAAGTGCTGATAAAGTAGCATGGATAAGAGCGAAAGCGGTGGCCTAGTGGTGAACCTCCTGCTGGGTATAACCTCCATGAAGCCTGTAGCCTTACAAGGGGGGTCATTCCAGGGATAGAGCGCTTTTCAAATGGTTCCCTGCTGCTGTAGAGGTCATGCGAAGAGCAGAAACAGTGATCATTTCCATCCTTTCTGTTACTCACAAAAATGATCAAACATAGTGAAGAAATGGTCCAGAGTTTGATCCCTGGTCATGACTAATTTTTGCAAAAAAGTTTGGCGCCTCAGATTGTTGCTAATGGCGCCATCGTCGGGAAAAACTGGGGTCATTGTCGTGTTTTTGCGAAAATTTGGAGGCACCAACATGAATTGCAAAAAATTTGTCATTATGGAGGATCGAACTTTGGACCATCGCTGTTTTGACATCCCCGGCTGCGTTCAATGATAACGCGATCTCTGGGTTGCGCTTCAAACAATGTACCATGGTTCTGTATTGTGTGTTCCTCAAGTGATCCTCTACAACATTCAGAAATTATTTTTAAGAAACGCTCCATGTGATGTCCATTGATGGCTAGGTGTAGAATAGTGCTGCCGTTCAGCAAGTATTCAACATGAAATGCATTCGAATATATCAACATGTGTTTGCAGTGACGGAGTGATGCATCGGCGCAATGATGTGTTCTTCAACGAGGTGCTACCCGAGTTCCTGCAGAGAACCCGCGAATTATTCCTGAAGTTATTCGCTGTTCGTGCAGTTGGACGAAATCAAAGTCAGCGATGGTATGACCAGTTTTGGGAATGAAACAATGGAGAAGGACAGACCTGAAAGGTACGTATAGATGTTGATGGAAATCGGCCATTAGGCGCATAGACAGATTGTCGTAAAAAAGTAGAAGGCGGATTCAGTGAAACAAACTGTCTAGAAAGAGAGTGATAGATTTTTAGCACGTATAGCAAGTTTAGATTACCGGGGTGTGAGATATAGGAGCTGAGCTAGAGGGTCAGAAATTTCAGGGAAAATGAAAAAACTGCTCCTCACTGAAGTTTATTCCGTGTGAGCGACTCAACTCCGTTTGAGCGATTAGAAAATGGATTTGCCACCACATGCCTCGCATTTGCAATAGTCCCAGTTTTCCTTTTATCATCATATTTTTCATAGTTGCCTCTTGAGACTAGGTAACGCTTTCCTCGTGCAGTCTGTAAGTTCCGTGCAGTATTTTCCGTGCAAAATCTCCTTACAATTTTTGCACTCTTGTCAGCTTTTCGAGGCCAAATTGGGACCTGCCTTCGAAAAAACAAGCAAAATATGTTAGAAAGAGCTTTATGACCTTCTGACTTTCCACACTACTGTTACAATGTCTTCGGGTGGATTCACCAAAGAACTGCTGGTAATTTCAGGAGCCTCAATCTCCAAAGTCCATCGACAATTTCACATTCTCGTCGACAGCAACGCAATGCAACCATGCCACCGTCGAGCAATGCAACGTCATGTACTCCCACAATGACAATCTGCGATCCATCGTGGAGGCGATATCGACATTGGTTAATCTCCCCAAGGAAGCGTGCCGTTTTGCATTTAGGGAAGGCTTGCGATGGCTTGTGCAATTGACTCACTGACAGATCCGTACTTAGAATTATGATTTACAAGCCCAAGGCGTGGAGGTATACAATTTGTAGTGGATTGCAGTAACAAATCAATCATCGAACAAATTACAGTATCAGTTTTGATCTGCTCTCGGTGGATGAAGCTCTTTGTGAGAGCTCGGATGGCGTCGGCAGTGTTTGTATATTTATGGCTCATTTGGATCGCGCTGTGGCAACTGGACAAATATTCGTGTGGAGGATGAAGAATCGGTCAGAAAGACAAATTCTATTAGAAGAGGTGTCTTTCAAGGACAGCCCAACTATCAAATGCTTGGCGAGGATTGGAATCGATTATGAGAGTATCGATCGTCATGAGACGTTCACCTCTATGGGATTGGATTCGCTACAGTGCGCCGAACTGGAGATGGCATTGCAGTCGGAGTTTCCCAGCTACAGTATCCCAACTGGCATCGCGATGACGAAGAACACCGTCGAAGAAATGGACACCTATCTCATGTCGTGTGTCGTTGCTTGTGAAATCAATAATAAAGATGACGATGCTTATTCGGGTCATGTTCCTTTATCTCCTCAGCAGAGGGGTTTGGTGTTTATGAGTGAGCTTGAGCCGCTCACGAGGGCTCAATTCAACGAGCCTGTGGTTTTCGCTATGGATGCTGCCATTTTCGATGAACGTCGATTTTTGAGGGTCTTGAATTCTATAGTCATGAGGCACTCCGTTCTACGCACCAAATATTATGCTAATGGCCAGACTATACTTTCTGGCACGGGAGCGTTCTTCACCTGTAGAAAATCGTTGATGGATCCGCAAATTTTCGTCAAGGCCCCCATGGATATAAAAGATTCCAGTATGCATGTTGGTGGTAGCCACTCAGTGTTCGCGTTGTGGTCGTGCCTCGTTCTTCCACCTATCGCAATGATGCCATCAATCACAATCATTATGCGGTGAAATAGGAGCGCTCTATTCGGGAGAGGAATTGACCCTCCCGAGGAAACAATACGCGGACTATGCCAGGCATACAGTTAGTTTCAATCACAACGAAAGGTTGGCGAAGTGGCGAGAGAAGTTGAATGGCAGAGAATTTCAACTTCTACCAACTGATAAATCGAGAACATCCAAGAGAACATACAACGGGGGTTTCACTCAGAAGGAAATACCGACAGCCCTGCAGAGATCACTGAGGGAACTCCGGCAGGCAGCCAATTGCACAAACTTTTGCATTTTACATGCTGTTTTACAGTTTCTCATTTACAAACTGCGGCATATCAGATTTCCCGATAGTTTCCATCCACTTAAGACAAAGGCATACGTTTTCAAAAAACCCCAAAAACTGGTTTTTTTAGGTTGTTTGGCAGTGAATGTGGTTGCCACTTAGTTGAAAGCTCTAGATCCGTCATGTACGATAGTTCAGTATCTGAGCCGATTGTCAGCCGCAATTGCCGAGGCTAGGAGTACAGATGTACCGCTGGATGTACTCGTTAGCGATCTGAGCATTGAGCGGGATGACAATGTTTCACCGCTTTTTCAGGTTCTTCTCGTTCTGGACAACGTTCAGCCACCCCCTTCTGAAAACGGCATTGTCCTGCTCGACTGTCCTACACAATTTGCAAAGTACGAGCAAACATGGTATTTTCGGACGGATGGCAAATCAATCAATATCTGCGTCGAGTATAATCGCGACTTATTCCGACCACAAACAATGGAAAACCTTGTTGATCGATTTTTTTCATCCTTAAAACATTCGGGAAACTATCTCCAGGCTGTAGGCTCAAGGATATTGCAATAATAAAGCAAACTGAGCTGAGATCTGTTATGGGAAAAAGAAATGCAAATAGGTGCGACATCTCCCAAGGGCACTGTCCCCGAAATGTTCCGTAAGAACCTGTCGACCACTGGTGTGATATAAATTCGGGGGAAAGAGAATGAATTTATGAGAACTTGACGAGAGAAAAGCTCAAGGGTGGCTGACGAAATCACCAGTGTTTACTCTTGTCACTATGGAGAGCTACCAACCATGGGATAGATGTGCAGCTGTGTTTATGGAACGATCGTTCGATCTGTTAGTGATAATTATCGCAATCTTGGAAAAGCGGGGATGGTAGCAGTACCGATCAGCCTCGACTGGCCAGCGCCGCGTGTGATCGACATGCTTGAGCTACTTAGTAATCCCATTCTGGTAGGCACGATATCGGAGCAGCTACGAAATTCCTGCTAATAATATCGGCGTGCCGGTCTTGGCTCGGATGCTCCAGCGGAAGAAACGTGGGGAGATTTTGGAACCGTGTGGAGCTCAACGACCTAGCCTACATCACATGCACATCTGGAACTACGGGAATTCCAAAAATGGTCTGTACTGAGTTTTCCGGTCATAGTAATCTCGCAGCGGCTTACACAAAGGCGTTTGTCCTCCATAATAACTCGCATAGCTACCAGGTGGTCAACTACGCTTTTGACATTTTCTTCGCTGATTTGACCAAGACGCTCGTGAACGGTGCGTCAATAACATTGGCCGAGGGGCTCATCCCGAATCTCCTCGAGATGGATGGGGTCACCAATGCCTACATTATGCCAGCTTACCTCTCTTCGCTGTCTTCATCAGACATTGAGCGATTAGCTTTCTTGGAATCGATTCACTTCGGCGGTGAGGCGATCCAGCCATCGGCTCTTCGACTACTACTTCAAATCGCTGCTTGCATCTATCATGAACACGGTGTGACGGAGCAGACTGTATTCACAACATGTAATCGAATGCATGTATACAGCCCTATTCCCGAGATTGGTGCGCCCTACCGTAACCTACATCACTTTCTCAGGGATGAGGATGGACAACTGCTTCCAGAGAAGTACCAGGGCATATACCATGTAAATGGGTGCGGACTGTTCAGAGGATACTACGGCAACCAAAAACTCACTGCCGATGCGCTAAGGCAAGGAATTCTCGGAAAAGAAATGCGAACCGGAGACGTTGTCAGATGTGAGCACGATCGCTTTCATTTCCAAGGACGAAATGAACTGCAAGTGAAAATAAGAGGTCGGCTCATTGATCTGCTTGAGGCGAGTTGATTTCTTGGCCTTCCCATAATCATCTTTGAACTATATCAATTTAGATACAACACGAGATTTGTTCGCATGACGAGGTGGACGCGTGTACGATCGCTGTTCACGAAGAGAACGGCACAAGAGAGCTTGTCGCTTACGTTATCACCAGCAGTGACTGTTGGTCCGCAGACGCGTTGGTGCAATCCCTGAGCGAGCGACTGCCCAGTTATTGCATTCCCAAGCACTTTGTACCACTAAAGAGCTTCCCACTGAATCAGAACGGAAAGATTGACAAAAAGCTGCTGCCGAAACCACTGCGTCAATGCTCTGTCCTGAATCCACGCTCACCCGAAGGAGATCTTGAAAAAGCAGTTGTTGATTCGTTCAAGAAGTACACCAAAAGGGATTTCATGATTGACGAATGCTTTTTTGATTTCGGCGGTGATTCCGTTAAGGTACGTTGTTAAACGCCGGATGCTTACCATTATCACGGCAAAATGGCTTTTTGAGGGAACAGCCCAAATAATAAGCTGGTAGCAACTATTTTCTTTCTATAGTGTGTGCACGAGATGTACCTGTTTGCTCCAATGCAAATGCTCCTAATAACAGAAATAGCTGAAATTTTGCGAAACTAAAAACGTTCAGAAATCACCGCGAATATTTAGGGTTTCTGGCGGAG